CTATCTGCATAGTAGGAGACCCAAGCAGAGGATCTTAATTTAGCTATGAAGGAAACAAATTCATACTGAGTCTGAGCTCAAGTTGGGGCTGTGGGCCGCTGGGATTGCATCCCAGAGCCAACCCCAAAACACCTGTCCCTAGGGGAAAGGGGTCTCAGGCCACAGAGCAGCTGGGGCAGCACTTCCGAGTTAGAAGCAGCCTCCTCCTGGCCATGTCTGACAGGATAGTAACCTGTCCTTCCTGGTACGCTGACCCAAGGACCTCTACATCACTAGGCCCATCACGAGTTGCGCACAATCGCTGGAGAATACCAGGGAACGAGACCATGTTGTGAAACTCTCACAACACCCAAAAAATACCAGTTCCTGGGCACCACTGCTTGCAAAACGAGTGCTCAGGATGGTAATTTCCAGTTCTAGCCCTGGATGGGAACATGCTGAGGGGCTTGAGGGCTGGCTTCACCCAACTTGGGTCCTCTTGTCATGGTAGATGCCAGGAGCCCACGAGGAAAGTGGACGGCTTGGTCAAACGCAGGCTTTCTTGGCCTCAGTACTTCTGAGGCTCAGCCCAGCTAATATGGGTCGTGGGAAGTGGGTATGATGTACCAGCATCCCTGGGCACCACCCACCCAAAACCAGCGGTACCCTCACCTTGGCAACCAGGTGTACCTTGAGACTGCCAAAAGTCCCCCCCCCCCAAGTTGAGAACCACCGTCTTTGTGTACAGGGGCACTGCCACATCCGCACTAGCAATATCCCTAAAAAGGATCTTTAGGTAGCCATCTCCCTTACAAAGGCCACCAGCCTGAGCTGCTGGCTGTGACTTGCGGCACCTCCAGGCCCCCTATGCTGTGACTGCCCAGGCCAAAGGTTCTCACTGTTCCCCAGTAACAACTAGAGGAAGCGCAACTTGAGCCCTCGCTTGTGCATAGGGTGCTGTGTGGGGGCTGGGTGCAGAGCAGGGTGCTGCCACGCCATCTTGCTAGGGATGACGACCAAGTGACATGAAGGTGCACACCTAAGAAAACTTGGATGTGGGTTTTTAGCATGGCCCAGGGCAGTCACATGTGTTCTCCTGTTTCAGATGGATGGAGGTAATCCGAAGTGCCACCTGCTCAGCCTCTCAGGCCCACATTCTGAGTCACAAAGAATCCCACGTGTACTGAAGGCTGGACCTCTCACCCGCTGGCCCAGCCGGGGCTGCTTTACTGGAAGACATTTACCTTGTGTATGACAAACTCACTCCTGTCCAGGCAAAATGTGTGGTTTTACAGCACCTCTTCCTGTCTCCCTCCACAGGCACCTGTCCTGATCTTCTCCCATAGTTTGTCATTGGGATGGGCAGCCTCCTCCACCAGGCCTGGGGGTCTCACCCATCACCCCCCGGGCTGTTCTTTAGCTTGTGCCAGTATTGAGACATTGTCAAAGAGTGCCAAATGACATTCTTTCCTTCACGACTGCACCCTGAACGAATGCAGCACACATGCGTCCATTCAACTGAAGACAGGGCAAGTGCTGTTTTTCTTAGAAAAGGACTTTTATTTTCATCCATGGGCTGCCGTTTTCAAAAAAGGATTTTCCAGTGTTCTCAACACACATGGCGCAATCTTAAATGAGAGATCATTTTCAGATTTCAGTTTTTTCAATCTTTCTACTTTTATAATAATAGGAAGTTTGTAGGACTCACTTTACTTACTAATAAGTGACCTGCAACACACTCCATTTGGCCGAGGGGTTTCTGGTTCCAGTGACATCCTGGTCACCAGACTGCCTTCTTGGCAGAAGTTGACCAAATCATCAGCGATTACTATTTACAGACTGTAGTGGGGTTGTTTTCTGTTGAGGCAGAAATGCTGTGCAGTTCCCAACCTGTCGCGCTGTGCTGTGAGTGATGTGTACACAGGAGCTCTTTGCTGTGGTGTTTGCTGTCTGTCCACACGCATGAGAAGCTGTATGTCACTGACTGGAGCTGTCTACGCTGTCTTGTTGAGGGGGGTGTGTGGGCTTTGTGGATGCAGAAGCATTGTACAGTCATGGTACCTAGTCCTCCCCCGCCGCGTGGCCTGAAGCCACGTTCTCTAGTAGTATCTATTGTGCCTGTCTTCAGAACGAGTCCTTCCTTTTTATACTTGCCCCCCCAGCATGGGTATCGCGGCAGGACACTGCCGCCAGGACAGTCAGCCGTCACCAGAACCTGGTGGGCCCCAGCCTGCCCTCTGATGACTGTCAATCCCTTGGTGTTCTTGAGCCCTTTCTAACTCGAGTCGGCCAGCTCTGCAGTCCTCTCCCAGCACTGTATGCCCCCAACGGGGGACACCAACTTAACCCGAGACACCAGTATTGTGTCGTGGAGCTGTGGCTGTCATCCATGATTTACAGAGAGAGGAGCTTGAGATGTGTTAATCATTTGCCTTACAATATGTACCAGATGGTTTTCAATACTAACAAAAGGGAATAAAAATACCTCACGCCACAATCCAGCATACTGAAGTTTTAAGGCAAAACAAGCAGCCTTGCCTTTTGTCTTTATTTCCATCATGTGTGTTGGGAGCAGGTGGGTGTGACAGGAAAGGGCACACGCCAGAGGACAGCTGAGGAAGGCCAATGTCAAGGAGACAGGGCATTCTAGCAAGCTGCTGGGTAGAGGCCTGGACAGACTAGGGATGAAGACATGAGGAGAGAGAGGAGGAAGCACCTACCTTAGGCACGCTGCCCTGGGTACGGGAGTCTCCCACTCACGCATGTGCCAGGGACCCAAAGTGGCCAAGCAGTGTCAGGAAACAGTATCACTTCTGTTCCCCTCCAGATGTCAATTCTGGAGGTCTCAGCTTGAGCATTTCAGAATGGTTCCTGTGAAGCACTCCGAGGCCTCAAGAAAATCTGAAAACCTGCTAGGAAGGGGCAGCATGAGAGATCCCCTGTACATACGACCCAGAGAAACAGGAAAAAAGCATTTTCTGAGAGCTTTATTGACCCTTGCATGACAGAGTACAAGTGCTCGGGAGCACACCCTTCGGTGCCCTCGGCCTCCATCACTGTATTTGGTAGCAGAAGTACAGAAGCCATGTTTTGTTGTAAGGAAGAAAATATAAAAATGCTTATAAACTGAGCACGTTTTGCCAAAGGAAAGGCACAAAATACTTCACAGAGAACCAAACTACACACTTGACAAGAGCAATTAGAGAAAAAAACTAAGTTTTTGAAAGGCAGGTGGCACTTGGTTCCGTCGAGAGCCTGGCCACTAGGTAACCACAGCAACCATTCTAAGTCACTCCACTGGGTCCAGCCAGCTGGGCCACAGCTGACCAAACACATAAACCACAGGCGAGCTGTTTGCAGTCACCGCAGTGCCACCTTAACACATAATCGTGGGCCGTTAGAGCTCAGGCTTGGCACTGGGTGGCTTCTGGGTGACAGCAGATCCTCAGCTGTAGGACACACAGGTCACCTTGAAGACCGACGGCAGCTTGCACTGGCAAGGCAGGCTCACTTGTAGTGCCGGTACCTACCACTGCTGCACTCAAGGCCCAGGACAGCATAACGCCAAAGGCCAACTTTTCTGGCCAAACAAGATGCCCTTGGAAACATGCCAGCTGACTTGTGTGTCTACAGCAAGTAGCAACCTAGAAGAGACTGGACAGTGCAGCAGTCCACTCTTAAGCTCCAAGGCAGTGCCCCACCGCCCACCAGGGTCCATGAAGTGCAAACAATGATTTGTGGCTTATGCATTACCATGGCCTAGTGATCGCGGAGACTCCACTAACCATTTATACCATGTGCTGTTAGGATCCAGTCCTCCTGCAGTAACCAGTTACTAGTAAGGCAGGCTTCGAGAGCACAGAGCTCAGGGATGCGAAGCCTGCTTCTATCCCTAGCGATAAAAAAAAAAAAAAAAAACATGACTGTCTTCAATACCAAAGTCATGTCACTGTCTACCTGGACATGTGAGGAGCCATCAATCAGAGAAGCTGCTGCCTGTGCTGGTGCTCCTAAACCTAAGAGCAGAGCACTGCAGGGTGCAGCAGCCAGAGTGAGTCTCCCACAGTAGCAAAACTGGCCTTTGGCTTATGCCTCATACGAAGAGACACACATTGCTCTGATGTAGAGTACACTAGAAACACAATGAAATATTCTCGAACTATACTGTTCAAAGTAACATTTCTGCCATAGAGTGCAGATAAGGATTAGCAATTCAGTTGTTTCCATTAACCAAGATATGTACCTTACAGAAACTAATGTCCAACCCAAATCCACTTCTGATAAAACACCATCATTCAACACTTTAAAAACCACAGACTTTCATTAGTCAATCAAAATACAACCAGTCCCTTCCCTAGCAACACCTCTAGCCAGGCCTGGCCCCTCCAGGCCTGGCCTACCAGCAGATGGTGAGCTGATTTCCCAAGTTCAGTTAACTGGTCTCCCAAAATCTCGGTCTTCCTCCCTATGAACCAGTACTCTAATAAGACATGACAGCAACGAACATCAAAAAATATAAAATGTTGCAAAACCTAAGCAAGACAGCCAAAAACTGCCACTAGAACCCTTTCCCATTCCAGAAACCCAGAGATGCCCCAGCTTGCCAAGCAATGTCCTGCAGCAAGCGATGAAAAACAAGACACCCTGGCTGGCTGCACTAGTGAGATCTAGGCCCCTTGACAGGGATTAAAACCACCTATTAAGGTCCCAGCAAGAGGTACAGGAATTTTACAAACCAGCAATATCCAACTGCATTTTTCAGTGACCAGTCACACGAGCTGCATAGGTTGCTGACCAGGACGTTCAGCCTTCCGCTATCTGTTGCTTCCCTGCAGTCTTCTGAGATGTCTCACACCACCCACAGCCACACACACCCACAGCCACACAAACTAACAGCAGATCTGTCCACTAGAGGCATGTGTCAAGAAGAGTATGCAAAATAAGTATGTTATAAAATTTATTCGTGTAAGCATCCAGACACTTCTAGGTGGGCAAGATGATATGCAGATTCCACTACAAGGTGCAACGGAAATCGTGTTGGGGAGGACATGACGTCGGGTGGTGGCACGGGTCCAAACAGAGGTGAGACGAGAGCGCGTCATCTGGGAAAGACTTAAAATAATAATTTAAAGCTTCATGAGGCAACAGATGATCCAATTTAAACACTAAGAAATAGTACCATCAATGAGAAAGGAAATCAACTTCTGTGTGTACCAAAAGGGTGTAGGGAAAATGAGGAAAATTTGCATCTGTTGAGGTACAAATAGGAGTGTTCCACGAGAGGGGCATTAATTATTATTAATGGCAAACCCTGCAAATATAAAATAAAATCCAAATCACTGGTCACAGATTTCAAAATTTACATGTATTAAAGGCAAGGCAGTAAGACTCAAGTTATGGCCTGTCGAACATTTACTCCACGGACACTATCTACAGAAGCACCTGGCCAGTGAGTGCTCAGTGATCCCTGTGCGCGCCAGAGGGTTCTGTAAAAACGAGCTATATACAAATCTGTACACCCATCCGCCAGGGCGCGCCTCAGCCCCCGGGGAGCGAGCCACGGAAGCAGGATACCTGAGGTTTCATGTCTTCAGTTGCCTGATCAGAATCCCAAATATACATTTCAGGGTTGGTTTTTTGTTTTTAAAGATACTTTCCTTGAATATGTGCACTATGGTTAAAATTAAAAAACAGTAAAAAAATAAAACAACCACTTGAAGGAGCTGACCCTCCCCGCCCATCCGAGAGGCTTTGCGCAGCTCCGGTGCGGTGAGGCTGCTCCATGTCCTGGTTGCGGCCCTGGTCACACCATCGGCAAAGGCTCTCGCTGACTTTTAAAAAGAAGGGAGGATGAAGAAGAAAACAGGAAAAACAAGACCCCGAACGCCAAAGGAATTTCAGTGGGATGATGTGCCTCCACCACTTAGAGAATATCTGGGGAAAAACAGAAAAAGGAGATAACAGTAAACAAATGTCATTTCTCTAACCCTTGTACAAAATCTCCAATAATAACCAAAGTCTTATTAAAAATAAACAACTCAGTGGAGTCCACATCAACATGCTGTAATCAGCTGTTATTTCTGACGACTGAAGTGTGAAGAGCCCAGGGACGCTGCCCAAGCTGCTGTGCACCGGGGGTGGAAACCCTTTCTGGCCACCAAGACACTGCCTCGGTCTGGTGACCTACGTCCTAGACTCATCTCCGAAACAACGCCCCTGGCAGGAGCCATCTACTTTCAGAGATACCTCAGGAGTTTGTACTACAAGGAGCAACGGATTTGGGGAGGACAAGACATAGGCGATGACACGGAAAGTATGAACACAAAACAACTGGGGCAGGCCAAATAGCTCGGTGGACTAAAGCACCTGCAAGTGGGCGCAGGGGCCAGATCCCTGGCCTGCCGTGCCGGCCCCGCCCCCAGGTTACCCTGGAACAGCAATTGAGACCGGCGTGGTGGTGCACGCCTGTAATCCCAGCTCTTGGGAGGCTATAAACAGGTGGATCACTACGAGTCTGATCTAGTAGTGAGACCCTGAACACCCTGTAGATGCTTCCCTAAAATACAAAAAAAAAAAACCAACTTTATTGCCCAACAGTAGAGAAACAGTTAAGTTATAACTGAAAAATGTTAAATAATTAACTGTAAACATTATGAAACATATACACAAGTGCTTACAAACAACATATGTGCTATTCTGAAGTCACAAGCACTGTAATTTGCAACTACAGGGAAACTGAGTAACTAAATTTATGCAACATCATAAGGCAATATATTAAAAAACAACAGGATGTAAATAGTTGGGATAAAACAGTGGAACTTTGAGGGCGGGCAAGATACCTCTATGGACTAAAGCACCTTCTCAGGCAAGTGCAGGGATCACAGCTCAATCCCGACACCACATGCTGCGCCAGCCCTGGCCCCAGAGCAAGCTGAGCTGGCCACAGAGTCTGGGTGTAGGGGTGTATGTCTGTAATCCCAGAGCTAAGGAAAAGGTGGGACTGTGGGCATGGTGGCGCATGCCCATAATCCCAGCAGTGAGACAGGAGGATCACAGTTTGAGACCAGCCTAACGGGGGGGGGGCCTGCATGGATTCTTGTACTTCAAACATTGTTTAGTAATATCTCACTTCAGGATTGGAAGTAGGAGGTGGGGGTTCCCTTTGGGTCAAGATACCCACAGCTGCCTGAAAACCAGCTCCAAGTCACCAGGTCCAGAGATAGCTGAGGCTACTTGGAAGACTCACTCTACCTCTCCACTGGAGTGTCCCACCCTACCCAGGCATTCTGGAGATCGAGCCTTCACACTTCTCCTTGCCCCCCAGAGACATTTCTTACTGGGAGACAGGACCGAGCTAGATCTCGAAGTTGCCCGGGATGGCCTCAAATTTACAAGTCTCCTGCCTCGGCCTCCCAGTGTTGAGTTACAGGTGTGTATCACCCCACCCAACTCGAGATTCTCTTTTAAAGCACTGAAAATACCCACACTGCCTCAGAGAAAATGGTTGTACAACTATTTAAGCAATTATAAATGACTAAATCTTGGAATGAACTGATGTCACACAAAAATGACCCCAACAGTAACCCAAACTGCTATAGACAGAAAGGTCTGACAATGCACCAGGCATCAGGCATTTTCCTGAGATGACCACTTTGCTGAGGTCACTCACAGACTGGCTTTGCAGCCATCACTGGGGGTCCTGTGGAACCTCAGGAGCACACGGGCCCCAAGCCAGGCCTGCAGGGACCCCAAACCCAAAGGGCCCAGCCACAAGGCTAACGAGGCGGCTATGCATTGTGAGTGGCCACAGGTGCTCACTCCACACCAGAAAGTGAGTCTAAATCAAGGCTTAATGTTTCCTTTTACTTTTTCAAGATATGGCCACTAGAAGATTTTAAATTCTCTGTGTGGCTCCATTCTGTCTCCATCAGACAGAGCTGGCTAATGTGCATCTCAAAGACAGGCCGAGGAGTGGGGCGATGGGGCCCTGCAACAGGAAGCAAGGGGAACTGGGCAAGCCAGGAAAACGCTGACTGGGTAATGAACACCAGTCCTGGAAACGGCACTACAGAAGCAGGAAACAAAACTCAAAGCAAGACACTAGCAACTCTCCCTTGTTTCTAACTTTAGTTCTGTTTGCTTACTGTGAGGTTGTTTATGAGAAATGAATGCCCCTAAAGAGAGGCATAAAAACTACCTAGTTCAGGAAATAAAAATGCTTACAGTGGGGCAAGCAAAAGGGTGACTTTTATAAAAAAAAATAAAAATAAAAAATAAAAAAAAATTAAAGGGCTGGAGAGATGGCTCAGTGGTCTAAGGCACCTACTTAGAACAAGCTTGGCAAAGCATCAGGGACCGCGGTTCAATCCCCCAGCC